ACAACAACAACAACAACAAATTTATTCAGTACCCATCATAATTACAATATTTAAATACTACATGTAATACAGGTAAGTTTGAAAGGCACTGGCTCCTTGAAATAACTGAAAAGCTAAACGAGTCAAGAAGCCATTGCAATAATAGATATTAAATAATTCTCACATTTATGGCAAAATTTGGCTAGTGTGACAAATGAGTATAACAATCATAATAGAGAATTTCTACCATAATAATTTCTACCATAATAATTCTGCCGACCCTATTATTTTTTCAACGCGATTGACTGTGCGACCCTATTTTCTCTAGATGGTTGTGGGCTGCTTGTATGTACAGCATGCCAAAATGGCGTCTGTTGTCACAATAATTATTCAACCAAATTGCCTAAATTTGTCCGTAGGAACTACGCATCTACTAGAAATCTACTAGACCTACTAGAAATCTTTGTAGACATATCTTACCATTCAGACAATCTTTCAACAGATTGGCCAGTAATTCAATCTCCTCCTGACCAGTAAGAAAAATAAGAATGTGACCTCTGTAAAAAATAAGTTTGACATTAAATTTGGAAAATATTCTGCAAAATGCTATTTCATGCATTTTGGAGATGTTTTATGATAATCTGAAAGCCACTGATTTGGTGTATTTTATGGCATAGATAAAACCATTCAGAGGTTACCCCCACCCCCATTTCTCATCAGTTTTAAAATTATTACAAAATTGGTCCTGAAGAAAAGTGGGGGTCCAGGCCCCCCATTCTCCACCCCTGTGGCTACACCTCTGTCAACAAATGAAAGGTATCTACATTAGAGTAGGAGTGAACTTACCCAAGAGGTTGGTCACTGTGCAGTTGAACAGTGGTAGCAAGTGCCGCATGAAGATAATCTGTTTGTTGCTCTACTGCGTATAACGTCTTAACCGGATGCTGCCTTCCTTCAATATACAGGATTTTTGCACCGCCAAAAAACTTTGAAAACGGCTCCGCTTCTAAAGTGGCAGACATTATGATAATCTTGAGTGGCTTGCCGCCAGACTCCGCCCTAGTCCTTTGCGCTGCTTTCACAATGCCAAACAACACGTCAGTGTGGATGGTCCTTTCATGTGCTTCGTCGAGGATAATAACACCATATCGCTTCAACTGTGGGTCACTAATTGCTTCGCGCAGTAGCATTCCATCAGTCATGTATTTTATTCTGGTATTAATAGAAGACACATCTTCAAATCGGACAGTATAACCTATTTTGCCCCCTATATTTTCTCCCATCTCATCAGCCACCCGCTCAGCAATGCTTATAGCGGCCACACGCCTTGGTTGAGTGCATCCTATAACTCCCAACCTCGCAAAACCACTACGGTATAAATACTGAGGCAACTGCGTAGACTTCCCCGATGCTGTCTCGCCTATAATGATCAAATTTTGATGGCGTTTCGCTTCCCTTACTAACGCTTTTCTTGCCCTGGAAATTGGCAAAAGTTGATTCTCTTGCACTGCATTTGGACTGACGTCTTCCCCCACCATAGACGCATCGTTGTGTAGAAATCCGTTCACGTTTTCCATTTAAAAATTTGCAAAAATTCTTGGGTAAAAACTAAAATTCATACACGTGTGCGTCCATGTTTTTTTTTCCCAAAAATATAACAGTATCAGAACTTCATGTAAACTGGTACGTACGGGGGCCGACCATCAGAAATGGGGGGGAGGGGGGGGGGTCAATGCATCATTGCATGCCCCCCCCCCGCTCAATCTAAAAAAATTAACATTCGCCCCGATCAGCCTCGTACCAAGGCGCAAATGCGTACTAAAAATAGCAACACTACAGTGTTTTTATATAGATCAGTTATTTGCGCCTGGGTTCGAGGCTGCGCCCCGATGCGCACACGGCGAAGCGTGGCGCACTTGATTAAAAGGTTGACTCGTTAATATTTTTGACTATTAATTTGATCATGACAGGATATATATTGTAACTGAGAGGGCGGAACAAACGCTGGAACAACAATGAAATATTATTTGCACTGATGAAGTTCCCGGCTCACGGATCAATGTCAATCGGACAAAACAGTGAATTTGGAACTGACAACTACACAAGTCTGCCAACAAGTTGTCAACAAGTTGTGTTCGCACTGCTTGTCCCAAGTTGTCAACAAGTTTGGAACAAGCTGTTAACAACTTGCAACAACCTTGTTGATATTATCAGACTTGTTGCAAGGTTGTTCCAACAAGTCCGATACAGTCATGATATAACAATATTGTTACAACCTTGTGTCATAAATCTTGTAACATTCTTGTTAAACTATCATGACTGTATCAGACTTGTTAGAACAACCTTGTAACAAGTCTAATAATGCCATCAAGCTTGTTACAAGTTGTTAACAGCTTGTTCCAAACTTGTTATGCAACAACTGGGAACAAGCAGTGCGAACACAACTTGTCGACAGCTTGTGAACAGATTTGTAACAACTTGTTTGCAGACCTGTAACAACTTGTGCGTTTTTACTTGTGTAGATGAGGACAACTAGATTTAATTTTGGGACGCCCTACTTCGTCACTGGTTGAACAATACAACACAATGAACTACAGAAATCATCTTTCTAACAAACGAATCATAAACCCTGATCACCATCAATGTATTAACCCTTAGCTTGCTCGCAGTTCGAAATTTCGTTCTAAAGGTCGAGACACATCGGACGCGATTCGACAACGCGACGCGATTTTTAGTTTTTTGAAAGTTAATAAAACAGCCAATGAGAGTAAATTTTGAAAGAATAGTATACCAAATAACTTAAAATGTTATAGAGCTTCTAAATATTTGGAAAATTTAAACTAGGATCAGTCAAAGTTATCGGCCAGTGAAAATCGAAAAATCGCGTCGCGTTGTCGAATCGCGTCCATGCAGTGTGTGTAATTCATTATCCCCAAGTATATTGAGTTTCTGATGACAATATGACAAGTGCAAATTATGTTCAATTATTCATGACAAATTTACAATATTGCAAACACATCCAATAAGTATTTTCAGTTTGCTATCAACGTAGTTTCCGCAAAACTCAAGGTTCATCGTATAACTACAATTCATGTATATAAGTATATTGCATTAATTGAATGTATTGAATAAAACGCACTATATTGAGTAGAGTTTGGAACGAGGTTGCTGTTTATAAGTTCATCTTTAATCCACAGTTATTTTGGTTCCGGTATTTTACTTTTTCAATGTCAAATCTAATCCATACAGCGCATAGTCTACATGTTTTCTACATCCTATAGAATGGATAGTACAGATTTACAGAATCAGTATTCTTCACAGTTTCTAAGACAGACTAATAGTCACTGCTTATCAGTTCATCAAAATGCTCACGAAGAAAGCAAATAGAAACAAAACAAAACTCGCTTCGTTTCTGAACGCAAAAGACTCGACGACATAGGCTATCGACTCATACACCATGATCGTACAATCTGTCAGATCAATAGTTGTATTCGCTGTTGTATTCGAGGTGGCATTTAGTGTCAAAATACTGTGGTTGAAAGCTATTCGTATTTCTATCATGGCAACGTAGTTATTAATCGCTTCCGCGGAAACTGTCAGATTCGTTTGCTTCGTGCCAGTGCTTTCGTGCGGAGGAATTGTATCTACTGCCACAACATGTTTCGCTTTCTCGTACGAGACTTTTGTTGTCACATTTACAATGTTCCTTGCATCATACTTGGTCAAATTTCCGTCTGAACAACGGGAACCATTGTTCGTTGACACATGGTAACTTTCTTGCTTGATCTGCAACGCGCGGTGTTTTGGAATCACAATGTTCGTGGTTTCATAATAGGGTCGATAACGTCCGCTGTATACAGGAGCCACAACCAAATTGTAGACAACTGTCGCGGTGGCTGCTGCCACTATGAAACGCTTATTAAACGGGTTTTTCTTCGTCTGCCGTATTTGACTGTGCGTGACACTAGAATGAAACGTCTTCGGCTTCGGTTTGGAACTAGAGGAAGCTGGCTTACGTTGTGTTTTCCGACTGCGATTTGTACTCTGGCGAGAACTTCGAGAACTTCTTGAGCCTTTTGCCTCGGTTTCGTGAAGCGCCAAGATCAAGATTGCCAAAAGAATGCCTACAACAAGCAGTGTTCGTCGCGAAGTCATCATCATCTCTTGTCGTAATACTGATCAACTTCAAATGACGACAGCTGCGTATATGCAAGGCGTTTCATATAACTCATAAGGGTTTATGAATATTTTAGTATAAACTAAAACGCAATTAATTGGTTTTGCAAAAACGCAAGAAGGCGTTCTGGCAGTAGCAGTAAAATATTTTTTTAAACTGTTAGTTTTCAACTGAAATAGATATAAAATCACAAAACATATATAGATCGGGAGATTTCATTTTAATAATCATGCACTCTTCCAATCTTCAATTGTGTTTAAATGTTATTTGAACACAAGAATATGTTGCAAGCTTAAGCCGTGCGCTTTACGCCCATTTTGGTCTTTAATAATTAATATAAATGGAACTTGATTTGGAAATGGAACAAATTCTGCCATGTAATATCACCGTTTGTCATTTCCTAGGGCACTTATAAATACATGTGAATGCGAATTACTCTCAGTGTTTTGGTTGCCCATAAATACATAAAACACATTTGACAAATGTGAAATGTAAATAATATCCATGTTTTCAAGTTTGTTATTAGTATGTGATTAAATTTTAACAACAGCGATTAAGCGACGTCACTGAAAACACCATATAACAGATAACAGACGAATAAATTTGCGCGTAACAGATGCTTGTCAGCGTATAGGAAAGTTCGGTCTTCATTCTTCAAAATACACAAAGTCTGAAAGTCATTACAAAATTTTTATTTTTTAAGAAAAGACTTATATGCATATACATTAAGTGAATGTCATTCACAAAGACAAAGTGCACTCTACAAACTATAATTTAAAATATTTATGTACAATTTATTATAATAGAATAGTTACATTTACGCTGCGTCGTTTTCGGCATTCTTTGCGTGCGGCTTCATATCCAGTGACTGGCAACGTTGATAAAACCTTGATTTAAAAGATATGATTATGATCAATTGTATGGATACAGGGTATTATAAATATACTGTATGTTATGCGTATGTATGAAAAGCCAAAATCTATAATTAAACGCCCTGGGCAAACCAGAAAAGATCGTTGCAGAACATTTGAAAATTTTGGCCACGAAACAATGTTTCTTGGTTTGTCCACCTTCAGGAAACATGGCTAGGAAACAATATTTCCTGGTTTGTCCATTGCTAGAAAACAATGTTTCCAGGTTTGTCCACCTTCAGGAAACATGGCTAGGAAACAATATTTCCTAGTTTGTCCACCTTCAGGAAACATTGCTAGAAAACAGTGTTTCCAGGTTTGTCCACCTTCAGGAAACATGGCTAGGAAACAATGTTTCCTAATTTGTCCACCTTCAGGAAACATGGCTACGAAACAAATGTGTTTCTTGGTTTGTTCACCTTCTGGAAACATGGCTAGGAAACAATGTTTCCTGGTTTGTCCACCTTCAGGAAACATGGCTAGGAAACAATGTTTCCTGGTTTGTCCACCTTCAGAAAACATGGCTAGAAAACAATATTTCCTGGTTTGCTCACCTTCTGGAAACATGGCTAGGAAACAATATTTCCTGGTTTGTCCACCTTCAGGAAACATGGCTAGGAAACAATATTTCCTAGTTTGTCCACCTTCAGGAAACATGGCTAGAAAACAATGTTTCCTGGTTTGTCCACCTTCAGAACACATGGCTAGAAAACAATATTTCCTGGTTTGCCCACCTTCTGGAAACATGGCTAGGAAACAATGTTTCATGGTTTGTCCACCTTCAGGAAACATGGCTAGAAAACAATGTTTCCAGGTTTGTCCACCTTCAGAAAACGTGGCTAGAAAACAATGTTTCCAGGTTTGTCCACCTTCAGGAAACATGGCTAGAAAACAATATTTCCTGGTTTGCTCACCTTCTGGAAACATGGCTAGGAAACAATATTTCCTAGTTTGTCCACCTTCAGGAAACATGGCTAGAAAACAATGTTTCCTGGTTTGTCCACCTTCAGGAAGCATGGCTAGGAAACAATGTTTCCTGGTTTGTCCACCTTCAGGAAACATGGCTAGGAAACAATGTTTCCAGGTTTGTCCACCTTCAGGAAACATGGCTAGAAAACAATATTTCCTGGTTTGCTCACCTTCAGGAAACATGGCTAGAAAACAATGTTTCCTGGTTTGTTCACCTTCAGAAAACATGGCTAGAAAACAATGTTTCCTGGTTTATTCACCCTAGGGAAACATGGTTACAACCGCTTACCTCTTGGCGAGTGACTAGGACTGGTGACTAGCGACAGGATTGCTTCAGTTGATAGATATAAAGGGACAGGTAAGGTATTCGGATCAATAGAGGATAAAGGACGAGGCCTGAGGTCATCGCGTGATCCCTGAAGATCCCTATTCATACAACAATGACTGTATATGAACGGCCTGTCGTGTCGATATCTACGACAGAACTTATTGACAAAATCTTGCAACTGAAATTGTTCGTCATCATCAATGATGGAGACACTAAGTTTACGCTTCGTATGTTCTTCTTGGCCTCTGTGGGCGTGGGGGCGGGTGGAGGTTTTGCTGCGAGATTGGCTGGAACGGAATAGTTTCCCCAAGGAAGATCTGCTCAATGTGTTTCTGGTAAAACTGTGTTTTGGGGAAGTTCTGGATTCGCTGAGCTCTGTTGGGGATTCACTGTGCTCTCTTGGTTCTTGGCATGAGGAATCTTGAAATACATCGTCATCTAACTCCTATAAGGCAATACTTTTAAATTAACGACCTCTGTATAAATCCATATCCATCGAAAGCCTGCATGGTTCAATCAAGTGACACTGGAATTTTTCTTCAAAATCCTTATTATGGAAATAGTATGGAAATTCTGTGGATATACTATGGATATAGTGGTGCAATCGTAATTCCATAGGCATAGTATATGAATTTCACGTACTATTTTTTCCAGTGTGAAATAAACATAAGTAAGAATTCCTTCAAAACCGGACAGAATTTTATTTTAAAATGTCTTTTGTTTCCCTTAGCTTATATGCTTATGAGGCTTCGCTTGCGGTCATGTCAAACGTCATGTCGCATACTTCAATGCATTTTTTTCTTTTGATTTTTCTTATTCTTGTGCTTATCTCACTTGTGTGATGGCGACTGTGGTTTGGTTGCATACCACAAACTATCAAAACGAAATTATAGTCACGCAAACTCCTGAATACATTTGACATTTGAAAACAGACACCTGAGGGATAAGACGCTGCTTGGTCCTTAATCAATGAACATTCAAGTATATGCTGGTGCAAAAGACTGGAACTCTTTACCATTAAACATTAGAGAAATGATATCATTCTCAAAATTTAAAAGTATTGTTTATACACGTCTTTTAGAACTTGACAATAAGTCTCGTATTTGTACATAAATAAAATAAGTGTAGCGTTGATAATTGTTCTCCTGTTAATACCAGCAGCATTGCTGAAGTGACGCGATTTTTAACAGTGTAAACCAAAGTCTTTATTTATTTATTAGTATTATTTGAAGCCGGAAGAAATAAGGAATACCTCGTCTCCTTTACTTGACGTTCTGGTGTGTTTCCCACTTGAGCTTGTACTTGGATATTTGACGTATCGAAAATAACACAAGCTACGAAAAGCACACTACAAAAAAAGAAATATATTAAATATTCCATGCATATACCATATCATTTACATCTCAAGATATGAGAAATTATATCCTGAAAGAAATTGAGAGGTTAACCCTTTATGAATATTCCCTAATATAAGAATTTACATATAAATTGAAATTTAAAATATAATTAACTTAGGACTATAAATCTGGCCATTGCCAATATTTCATTATATGGTTGTATATTTGTATGAAACGTGTAACAATTTGCTTGCAACTGTAATACTATCAAATATTGATTCTTACGAAACAAACCATTTTTTAGGATATTTGCCAACAGGAAAAAGGAATTGAAATGACGTTGAGTACTGACGATACTAGCTACCTACTCATGATCAATTCAATTACTCAAGTGTGTCCGTTTTACATTGAAGAATAAAGACGTTCAGTAATTTTCCGGTGAAGCACTATCACTATAGAAACGTTCAACTGTTTTATATATTTTCAGCTAGCTCAGACAAAAACCACGGCACCTTACTGTAGAATACTACCTACAATGTATCACCACGTTTGAGATAATCTTTTCAGGTAGTTCAGACACAAACCAATGCAGTTTATTGTAGAATAATACCTATACCCCCACTAGCCTATATACGTCAACCTCTAGTAGGTATGACATAGCCATAGGCTAACCGCCCACACGTTTGAGAGAAAAAAACTTCATGCCAACTAACCTCGACTTTCGAGTAATAAGAAACGCGTAGATCATCAAGTGTATCATTAAACTTGTTAAACGTTTTATCCAGCTCGAACAAGTTATCCGCAACAATTTTCAATTGTTGATCTAACTCGGAATACCTCTGACATTCGCTGCATATTGATATTTGCCTTTGAAGCGAATCCAATTTTCTTTGGATTATATTTTTATCCAATTCTTGCAATTTTTCTTTCATCTCCCGTGTTTCTTTCTCATCAAAATCTCGGTGTTGAAGGTCTTCGACTTCTCTGAGACGTTGTTGGTAGAAATGCAAAGCTTGTTTTAGTTTTCTCAAAACCTGCTTCTGTAGTTTCGCGTGACTTTTCATTTCCAGCTTTATAGCACGTCCACTGCCCACTGAGGATCGCTGTATAATGAAACGATATTAAAATAATAATTTTTTATAACCGTTGAATAGCTGGAAGGTGGCTATTATTTCTAAACTGTTCTTCCTAGAGTTCCTTATATTGCTTCGGTATTACTACAGGAAGAAACCGCATACAGAGAAAATATGCGGTATTTAATCAAACTAGAAGCATTCTTCCCATATGCATATGAGGATGTAGCAGTGTTGTAGCGATCTTGAGATGCAAATTTAACCATCTATATTGTGACACGTTTTTCATCTGTAGTTCCCACACATACCAGAGTGGCTCATTGTTGAATACTGCCTACCAGAAATATCACAACTAACCTGTTGTCGGTTAGAGACTGCAATTGCTTTTGCAAGATCATCTCTACCAATATATGCGAGAGCATTTAACAATTCATGTAGCGTTGCTTCGCTACCAAGTTGCCTGGTCCACGTCAACAACAGTTGATACGCTTTCTCTCTGTTGCTTTCGCTTCCATGTTCTATATCTATATTCTCAATAATGCTTTCCTTTATTTCGAGTTTTCGACCGACGTCTTTCCACACTGTGGAAATATGGCCACTTAAGTCCAAGAGAAGACTACCATTGCCAGTAAGGACGAATGGTTCACTACGTTGATGTTGTATTGTCGTCCATGGTTGAATCTCGACATGAGAATCATCATCGCTGGAACATTCGTCAGAAAAGTCTGAACAGCATTCTCCTGAGGAATCAATTCTGTTGTTTCTGGGTGTGGTCATTTTTAGCACTGAAATATGAAAATAGAGTTTTATAATGATAAATAATAAATTTTACACGAGGAGATCAGCTAACTATGCTAATCCCAACATAAGAAAGTTTCAGATTGATGAAGGTGCAACTACTTGAACAATACAAGAACTGCATGCAGCCTTATATCAAACTGAGGCGGCTTTCTTATTATTGACAGTATCTACACTCACACAGACTGTTCAAATCCCAACATAGCCCGTATTTTCTTACAAACGCCTACGTTTGCAATTCTTGCTATTTCACAATGCTCTTTATTTGCCTGACGGACGAACATGTCTTCATATATAGTATTATCACAAGACAAGTATCCCGATTGAACAAGAGCTAGAATAGCGTGATTCTGCCGCGGAAGTCAATCATTTCCTATAATTCGTCTATTAAATGCCGTATTTAATTACACAACATCCGTTAAGACAAACTACGCAAGCACGTACATGCGTTCCTCTGATTAGACAGATGATCTGTTTGTTGTCGGGCTGGTTTAATAATACACTGTGAATTACACAGTAGGAATTTTGCATATATACGTAAATTGTAAGTTTCGAAGGATTAGCAAGCAATATTTGAGCAAACTGACTTACGAGTTATGTATAAAACACCGAGTCAATTCCCTCAAACATTTCTTACAAATCCTTCAAAACTTGGAATTTACCTATATGCAAAATTCCTAATGTGATCAGAGAACCAGGCATTATAGACGAACTATATATCAGTATGCAGTCCCGAAGATTAGATCAGAAGACTGTCAATTTAATTGCATCATTCATGAAGACAGTGATGAAGTGGCCATATACTCAGGGCTTCTTTTGCGTGCAGTCCAAACAATTTGCAACTGAAATAAATTTTTGTTCAAATTGCCTTTATGCGCTTGACATTGCTTAATGCTTATTACTTCTAATATTAGCTTTGTAGAGCACACGTATTGTGAAAGAAGGAAATCGCATATATTTATTTGGTATACAATTATTTCATTGTTGCAGCGACAATCGAAACTATAAATATATCTCGAACCAACAGTCTTGTGACAGAAAGCAACCACTAGAAAACGCTTACACAATGTTACAAAACATTCTCGACCGCCATTCGGCAAGCGGAATACTAGCTCGTGTCAAACAGACATGCAGCGACGCTCAATTCTAAACACAATTCCAAATTTCTCGTATGCATTAATGCATTCCATGTAATGATTAGAAACGCATTAATATATATGCTTGTCGATGTTGTAAAAGTACTGTAATCAACTATAAAATACCAGCTTTAATAACTTATTTATCTTCAAAATCTATAACACTTTAAAATAAAAGCAGCTTAAATATTATACGCTCAGTAAGCCCAATATCTGACCTTTTGAATACGAAAGTTTACACTGTATTGATCAATAAATTGCTGTGAAATATTTATAAAGCACGCAATAAAACACATGCATTCATACTTACCTCTGATCTGCTAGTGAATTTTGAGCATTTCGTCTGAGGAAAGAAGTCAGGGAAGCTCTCCTTCTTCTGATGTGAAGTTGTCTTTTCCCCGAGGCAATTTCGATGCAGTACGATTCAGCCGACGTCTCAATGGGAAATTACATATGTACATTGCGTCATACCTAAATAAGGCTAAAAATAACAATATGGCAGCACATGATTGGTGGAAAATGACAAACGATTTCTTTCTATGATTTGTTGAAACTGAATAATTGCAACAATTTTGGATGAAAATATCCCCCGTGTGATGCAAGAAAGGTTCAGTGCAAGTATTCAATGTTTCATTAAACGTTACAGGACAACAGATGGTGGTTACTTTATAATATACGAACACATTTCTGTATTTCGTTCAATACATCCTTTCGATAATTACATCACACATACTTTTTGGTCTTGGAGCCTCGATCTCGTTAGTAAATTATGCAAGGTGATTGGCTCACGATTCATGCGAGCGAGGCTGCCTGGCCAAATGACGTAATTATCGAAAGGGTGTATTGTCTTCAATTACAATACTGCTACATATAATGAAACTAATTAACATAATTTGCTTACTCTGATTTCGCCACTATGCAGATTACATCATCACAACCTGGAACGTCCTTTCCAACTGCGTCTGTGGTGTTAAAATGATACGGTAATGATTATAGATCATTTATTGGCTCCAACACGAAATATCTTCAGTGTATCGGAATCTTTTATTTCAAGTTAATTAAGTCTTTCCTTCAAAAACACTAATTGAAGAATTGCTAGCACTAGAAATAAATACTGGAACTTTTCGTATTTCGCATGCTGCACCTGCACACTTTGTCCTCCCCCTACGTGGATAGACTCTGTCGCGATTCCTCAAAAACTAGACCAAAGACGTCAGTCAAATTGCAGTCGTTGTTCATATATGGTTAATTGGCAACTGAAATGGAAGGATGCGAGTCACGGTACAAGAAAAACCAAAGTCTATCGCTCACAGATATTTTATTTCATAGGACGGAGGACGGATGTGAGCCGTTGTACAAGGAAAATGAAACGACACAAATCAAAGAACTAAGAGTAATATATAAAATGAAAGACTAATATATAAAAATATTATTTTAAAACAAAGAAAAGAATGTTTCCTGTGTCCAAGTACACCCCCACCCACCTGCAATGCAGTTTGGGAATGTCTGCACAAAACAACACTCAATATGAGTTTGAATTTCAGCCAGGCAGACGCATAGTCCTAAACAGACTTAAAAATTGTTGCGTTTGTCTTTGATTATAAATACTGTATATGTTGCATATAGAGAGACTTACCTTTTCTCTGACATAACAGACGTTTACCCCAAATATTTAACTCTGTGGTTATTGCCAGATGATGGATCTGGATAGTAGGTGATTGCACCATTCATTGAATTTCGTCTTACACTAGATATTACTTGTGAATTAATGGTTAGTAAAACGTTATCAAACTAGGATGAGAGTTGATAAGAGTTGCAGTCACGCATTTTTACATTTCAAGCTCTATAGATTAACAAAATAAAGATTTGATGAGTGTTCCAACTATGTTTTAAATTAAATAAAATACATGATAGTGTTGGTTCCGCATTAAGAACAGCTATGGTCGCGTGACCGCCAACTCTCATACACTCTCATTGTCGTTTCATTCGAGCTTAAAGCATACGAATTACTTAATTAGTTATAAACTAGATTTTTATCAAATTTATCACGTTTGAACTATGCAACAGGCTCCTCGTCCATTATAAAATTTATATAAAAAAACTTAAACATATATACATTATTCCTATAATTTCAAAATTTTCGATTCTAAAATAATTTCGTAAGAATCTAAATACAAATGCAGGCCAGATAAAAACTGTTAATTAAGTGTATTTCGCCAGATCATTTTTCCACGTTAAAGCTTCCTCTTTAGTCTCCGCTTTTAAGAAATATGTCCTTTCTTCCGTTTCAATTTTAATTTCACGTTTGTCTTCGTCACTGATACTGACTGGGGCCCCCCGTAAATATACTGAATTGATCACTTTCCCATCAGCTTTTCTGAAATAATGTAACTGGCCAGAGTCGTCTAATTCAAAATGGCGGATGTCCCATTTGGGTTGTTTGTGTCTCCCGCCACTCAGTTTCTGAAGTGTTCCCTGGCGTGTTGGTTTTTTGGGAGACTTTAACGTGCTTGACTTCGTTGGACTTACTACATTTCGTTTTAACGATGCTTGCTTTGTGGGCGATGTGACTGCATTTCGTTTTAACGATGCTTGCTTCGTGGGCGATGTGTTGGTTTTCTAAAATAAAAGTAAGATATTATCAAGAATTTTCTGTAAACAAACCATCATTTGGTTCTTTGCAAATCGTATGTCAATGGGTATATATCCGGTATTGACAAGTGTGACGACTTGATGGCATGGAGAACAGCGAGATTTTCCAAATAATGAAAAGATAATGAAGCATTGTTGTGACTGAATGGCATGAAGTGCTGTGGGATTTTCAAAACAATGAGAAGACAATGAAACAGTCCATTCACTGGATCCTGACTGGATGGTAACTAGTGATGCCAAGAGTCTATGACTTAAACACAACAAGTTTTTTATAGCAAAAGTACTGAGGACAACAAGCACCGTCAGGCCAGCCTAAATCTTCTCACAATAATATAATTGAGGATTGGATATTCGCTCCAACAGTCAGTGCCAGCGTAAGTACTGGTAATAACACCAGAAAGCTAAAGATGGAGAGGGTATGGTTTCAACTACTTGAAAATTTTCGTCAAGTTTTATTTGTACATTTTCCAGGTAGTTGAATCTGTGTCAATCTGCAGCTTTCTGGATTGCATACTCCAGCGATTATGAATCCACTGCATACGTTATTTATATTTCGATAGCTCAATCGATAGAGCGGCGGTGTCTAGAAATCTGCGAGTTCCAATCCCAGACAACAAATTTTTCGTTTTCTCTGTCAGAATAAATAGGAAACTAGTTTTAAGTTGTTTATCTTACCTCTTTTTCCTCTTGTTTAGCACTACTTTGCTTTACTTTCAACTCTCCCATCATCTGTTTCATGTTCAGCTGTTCTTTACTTGGCGTCTGTAGACGAAACACGAGAAATATATAATCTGAGAATGATGATGTTGGTAGCACCCCCCGGGCTACCGTTCTTGGAATATGCAGTTGTCTGCATAGATGGATTGTCGTACAGACGATGCAGGGGGGAGTTCCCCCAAGAATATTTTGCATCTCCTGAGAAATTTAAATCCCTCCACTCGGCTCCAGAAATTTAAATGCTCACTGGTTTGAATAAGAGTAAGACTAAAAATCTCAAAATTTCCCATTTTCCTGGGGCCTTTATCCCCCTAATCCCCACCCTGTAGAACCCCGCTCAAAAAAAGATGGATTCTCTGTACCACAATAGAAGAACAGCTAAGAACTGAGCTACCCAGTATAAACGCAGTTAGTATCACTAAATACATGAATTAGTCACACACCAATCGACCGTTAAACATGCACAATTATTTACCTTGGTATCTTTTCGAATTCCCTTAGGAGAGGCAATACCATTGTTACTGTGCAAAATATAAAGACACTGTCAGTTTTTTCAGTCTACCTATCACTGAACTCTAAGTATAACAACAATCTACGTATAACACTATACGACCAAAACTCCCTTGGGACTTTGATCGAGGTTGCAAAACCATCGTCGTTCAAATATGACTGATTTTGACTGGTGTGGTCTAGGACGAGTTAAACTTACTTTTTGCCTTTGCTTTTTGCCTGTTCTTGAACGACAGAAGAGAAACTTGTCAGGAATTTATTTAAGTTTCCAAACACTTCTTCAGAATTCTTCCCCGATGGTTCTCCTAGCAATGTCTAGAGAATTTAAATATCAGTTGTTCCCAGTTTTTCGATATCATTAAAAAATGTTATAAATAATGTGTTCTTATAAAGTTATAATACAAGAAAATTAGAAACATACGTGTCAACACCTTGTCCACTATATTTACCCGTTTGGTGGAGGGGGAGGGTGACCTGGACTGACTATTGTAACTTGGACTCAGATTAATGCCAATGGCATCTTGAGCTGCCATTCTCCACCGAACTAACACCTTCACACCAATTAAAATTGGTAGAAATAAAATTTTAATCTGGACTGCAAGTGGAAAGCCGTTGAGCCAAGAGTGCACAAAAATTCAAAACGCACGTTGTTGTCGTTTGGACGTCAGACTTGGAATGATAGGTGTCGCCTAATCCCATTCTCGGTCATGTGACGTGCTGACGTCAAGACACCTGGTTACCAAGTTTCTAACCTCGGTTATTGCATAACCTCATTAAAATGATATGGACTTTCTAGAGAGCAACTGAGTATCTTTGATATGTGTATACCCTCTTCAAATAATTCTCAAACGTGTAAATCTAATCCAATCAAATTTAATCTAATCTAATCGAATGTAAGGAAATACTTCTAGTTTGACTAAGTGAGTCAAACCTACCAATAATTTTGCAAAACTCTCTTTCATCTTGTCACATCTACTGTTCAGGTCCATCAGTTTAACTTCATATACACTGACAAATTCCTACAGCACAAGTTAAGGAAACCTTTCAGTAATCTTTTCAACAATCTAAAGCCTCGGTCGCCAACTCTATCAACTCTCGTCAACTGTTATCAACTGTTATCAACTCTCATCAACTCTCATCAACTCTCATCAACTCTTATCAACTCTCATCAACTCTCATCAACTCTCATCAACCCTCATCAACCCTCATCAACTCTCATCAACTCTCATCAACTCTCATCAACTCTTATCAACTCTCATCAACTCTCATCAACACTCATCAACACTCATCAACTCTCATCAACACTCATCAACTCTCATCAACTCTCATCAACTCTCATCAACTCTTATCAACTCTCATCAACTCTCATCAACTCTCATCAACTCTCATCAACACTCATCAACTCTCATCAACACTCATCAACACTCATCAACACTCATCAACACTCATCAACACTCATCAACACTCATCAACTCTCATCAACTCTCATCAACTCTCATCAACTCTCATCAACTCTCATCAACTCTCATCAACACTCATCAACACTCATCAACACTCATCAACTCTCATCAACACTCATCAACACTCATCAACTCTCACCAACTCTCACCAACTCTCATCAACTCTTATCAACTCTTATCAACACTCATCAACTCTCATCAACGGTATTTTCAAAGGATACGTTAATGTCGTCGTGGAATTTTCCATCTGCAGCGTCCGAAGTCTTTCGCTTGACTTGGAGATCTAAGTTCAGTTTCTTTATCTTTGCTAAGCCTTTCCACAACACTGGATACAACGAAAAATACAGAATATAAATGGACATGAATAACTTTTCTAATTTCCCTCCACAAGTACTAAAAGACAATTTTTTCAATACCTTCCACTTCAGCTGTAAGGCCTTTTACGGAAGCTAAAATGGATAATTCACAATTAAATAGACTCTCAACTAAACTAACTGTATTTACACTGCATATAGCTCTATCAGTTCTAAACTGTTCTTCCTAGAGGTCCAGTAAGGGTCATCCCCTACTGATCCAGTGTTACTACAGGAGGAAACCTAGACTAAACTAACTTTATTTATACTGGATAGCTCTATCAGTTCTAAACTGTTCTCCTTAGAGGTCCAGTAAGGGTCATCCCTTATTGATCCAGTGTTACTACAGGAGAAAACCTACTGATTTTAGTCAATTACTTGTAGTAGGAGTGAAGGGAAAATAAATAAGTAGAATGTTTATACCTTCAACAGCAAATTTAGCACTCGACAAATCTTGTCCTAACGACAATGTTTCCTCTTCTTTAATACTTAACATGTCAACCAGAAGATTTAACAAAGTGTAGCTCTTCTGACAACCTCGAGTGTCTACTAACTACAAATAGATCAAGGGAAAAAATTGATGAAATTTTGTTGAACCAACACGGTTACGGCAACGAAAAAATGACTGCACCTTGGGAAGTGATGAAATTTGAAAGCCGTGAGCTCCTCCTCGGCTCGCCTCGGCGTAATATGCTCATGAGCATGCTTATGACCAAACTGCATTATTTTCGTGTGTCTATGAGCGTGCTTATGAGACACCCCATATAGGGATTCTCATAAGCACGCCCCGTATATGTACCAACATCCTGTAATATGCTCATGCATGAGCATGCTTATGACCAAACTGCATCATTTTCGTGTGCCTATGAGCGTGCTTATGAGATACCCCATATAGGGATACTGATACGCACGCCCCGTATATGTACCAACATAATTACTGCACCTTGGGAAGTGATGAAATTTGAAAACCGTGAGCTCCTCCTCGGCTGGTACCGCCGTTGAGATAGTTGCCAATGGCAAGCACATATTCCATAACTGTTTGGAATTTCTTACTATGGATAATTTCTGTACATGTCTGCAACACTGAAGACACGGCCTGCAAAGTTATTAAAAAAGATTTACTATTATGCACTCGTATTCGCAGGGCCGCCAAGAGGTTGCGCCGGGCGCGGAACTGATAGAGCTATCCAGTATAAATAAAATTATACTAAAACTGTCTGTACCAGTGTAGGTAGTACCAATAAATGTGAAAATGCTGTGCTGAGTGGTTATATTACTACCTTAAAAAACAAGCAGAAACTCGACGTTTCGAGCGAAGGCCCTTCGTCAAGAGTTAGTAGTAATTAGTGTACTGTAGTTTAAGTTTCCTCCTGTAGTAACACTGAATCAATAAAGGATGATTCTTACCCAGTATAAATAAAATTAGTTTATCTATAAGTGTGGCTCAGTTACTCACTGGAAAAAGCTCTTCATATTGAAGTGGAAATTCCAGAATGAATAACAACAAGTCTAAGCGAGCATTCAAGTCAGGAATCTCACAAAGCTGAAACAAAAAAGAAAAGATAAAGAATTTGTAAACAAGGAAAGCAACAAACCTGGGATGACGTATGATAAAAAAGAAAGGTCCGACCTGCACACGTAAAAATCTCACAACTTGTCAACAAGATGTGTTCGCAGGCTTGTAGCAAACTTGTCAACAAGCTGTGACAATGCGGGGTTTTTTATCAATTTGCTACAAGGTTGTCACTCACAACTTGTTGACAAATTGTTGAATTGCAGGACGATAACAAGTTGGAATAACTTGTAACAAGTCTGTTGAGCTAAACAACTTTGTAGCAAGTTGTCAACAAGCAGTGCGAACACATCGTGTTGACAATTGTTGGAACAGCATTGCTACAAGTCTGCTGCAAGTTTGTCACAACTTGTGCGTTTTTACGTGTGTACCTTGATCATAAAATGGTCAGTTTTGGGAAGGTCTTCCTTCGCTCCTTTGTAGTTTTTATACATTTCCGTTTCCTCTGTGCTCGGTTGAAATCTTTTGAGAGAAATGACAATTTCTAAAGGTAGTCCACCATCATTTTCATCAATGAAATTCAATCTCCTGTCCACATCTTGCGCGTTCAATTTAAATCCACTCAAGAAAATTCCTAGAAAGGGAGAAATTTCGGAAACGAGTAAACAAATCGTGTCAATGTTACTCTAATACGATCGACGCTTTCCTCAGTGCTCACCTAAATTCTGTGCCCTTTTATTATCCAGCAAACTCTTGGATGCATTTTTCTTCGCAATTTGAGCTAACAAAAAAAAAACAGAAAAAATATTCTACAGACGTTATCTTCTGATCTTTTTTAATCCTATAGTAACTTTATAAATGCCTTCGGGAACAATGAAATGATTTAAGGCTACGTTTACATTGTATCGGAGAGTTTTCCTTGGCGACGTGAAAAAACACCTATCCATACCTTTTATGAACGCTGTTTTCAGAGGAATTATTGCAACGGAGAGATGTTGTTTCGCTCAGCTACTGAAAGTTGTACATTCCGTATCGGATAGGTGTTTTTTCGCGCCGCTACAGAAAGGTATCTGGTATAGTGGAAACATAGCCTCGATCTCATTCAAGTAATTCAGACAGCAACTACTGCTACAAAATAAAAAATAAACTATTACTACCTAAATCAGGTGCATTAGGTTTCTCTTCGACTTGGAATAAATCTTCAATCATTTTGACATCCAACTCGTCCAATCTATCCTGTGCTTTGCCCCACATTGATGATAAAAGCTATAGAGAGTTGTAAAGAGATATTTTGAGAATAAAATATGAACGATTGACAAGTTTTCTTTGAGACAGAGCCGAAAATGGGTCATGTCAGATTTTAAATAAAGGCAATGCGTCTAAGTTTCCTCTTCAAAACGAGCTTGAATGTAGTTATTTTCTTACCAGGTTATTTGGGACTTTTGTCCAAAAGAAAGGTCGAACTTTCACGTTTGGTTTCACCAGAGGTTTAGGAGGAAACGTTGCGGCCGGACCTAAACCAAACGGGGGTGGTGGAGGGGCGCCTCCTCCTGGAGGTGGTGGTGGTGGTGGTATACCCATTCCAGGGGGTGGGGGAGGCGGAATAACTGAATCCGGTGAGGACAAAGCAGAGGGGACTCCAACTGCA